GTGCAATTCAACGTGCCTAAATAAGCAGTTTCATCTTATAAATACTAAACAGGAAGTTTATTGCGGTTACCATCAATGTACAGAAGATTAAACAGAAAGTCCACAAACTTTTGCAACAAAATATTGATCTTTTTTTTGTCAACCCTTCAAAAACTAATAGATCAATAAATGGACGTCTAGATAGGTTTATTTCTATTTAATGTATAATATTTGAACTTGAATACCTAAGTTTCATAGTCTGTTATGACAGGACAGAATAAATATGGCTGTCCACAAACTTTTGCAACAGGGTGTATTTGTATCCTGAGAATGTTTAAAATTCAATATTAATTTTAAAATTAGTTAACCACATGGAAAATAAACTAAGGAATGAAACCAAAGAGAAATATAAAAAGACCAAAATAAGGAACCTGGATAAGAATTGGCTCTTTGGTATTGATACAAGCAGCGTATCACTCAGTCAGTCTCATTCCGAGACACAGAAACAGCATCAGAATGTCACTGAGAACATTTTCATCAGGCAAGAGAGCTCTGAATCAGAAAAGGAACCGAGAACAGTTCAGCCGCCTCGTAGAACCAAAGTCAGCCTGAAATACATTCAGAAGCCCAAGAAACGTGGTGTATCATTTTCAAAGAGAAAGAAAGGAGTAATAAAGAAGTTAGATGAATTGAATGTGTTAACCAGGGCAGAAATCATGCTGGTAATAGCAAATGAGAGTGGACGAGTATACACGTATGCGACAGATAAGCTAAAAGTGATACTGATTAGACAGGAAGACATGATCAAGGAGTTGTTGGATGTATCAAGTGAGATAGTGGAAGAAGAGTGAGGAAGAAATATTTCATTTTTTATACCGTATGATTGATGGATTTAAACCAGATTTCACGTACAGGGGAACATTCGGATTGATAGCAAACAGAAGAAGCAGAATGAAACAGGATGGAGCATACACGTTCGTATCACTCAACTCAAGACTGTATAAATATGATACAGAGGCAAATGAGTTGGTAGAGACGTATGGGACAACAGAATATGCCATAAGCAGCTTTATAGTGAAGAATGAATGGATTGTAATTGGATATGAGATGGGAATGGTGGAAATATGCAACAGAAACAAGAAACTGAGACTACACAGGAAGAGTGTAACAGCAATGGGGATATTTGAGAATATTTTATGTAGTGGATCATCAGATGGAACAATTTGCATCTACGATTTGGATTTGGAGACTGAACAAATTGTGAGTTGCAACAGTGCAGTGGTACAGATAGAAATTGGATCAGAGATATTTGTAGCATGTGGAGACAAATCGATTAGGAAATATACGATATCAGGAAGTGCAGTTGATATGATTCTATTTGATGATCACATATTTGATTTTATACGAAGAGAATCAGAACTATTCGTGATTTGTAAATCAGGTGGATCGCATTTTGTGGATTTGAAGACCAATGAAATCAGGAAATTCATAGACTACAACAAGATCAAATCAGTGAACTGTTTTGGAGATATTCTGATGGTATTCTGTGGCATCAAAATATACAGGTATAAAATGACCAAAAAAGAAGCATTTGGATTGCAATTACAGTCTACATTTGCAGTGGGAGACAAAAACATGCTGAGTGTGATGATGTTTGGAAACAAATACGTTGGAATAACCCTACGAAACAAATTGGTTGTTTTTGATGAGAAAAAGGAAATTAAGAACTATTTGAATTTACATGAGACTGAAATAATTCAAGTTCAGGTTGAGGATGAAAATGGGCATTTTTATACGTTAAGTAAAGAACGACTCATAAAGTGGGTTGTGGGAGATGAAATACTGGTTGTAGAAAACAAGGTGGATTTGGATGCAGCTAGAGCATTTCTGATAATCAATAGCAACATATTCATAGCAACTAGTAATATGATAACGGAATATAACCCGATTACACTCAGCCAATTGAATCAATTCGACATCAATGCTACTAAAATGTGTCTGTACAATGATATATGTGCAGTATGCTACGATAAGACTGTCACATTCTACACCGACTGCTTTAAAACAAGACTACGAGAATTTGAGTTGCCTGATTCAGTTTCAAGCTGTGAATTCAGTAGAGATGGGCTCTTTACAGTGGGATGTGTGGATGGTAAGGCGTATTTGTACAATCAGATTGACTTTGATACGACTGAAATGGTACAGAAGTTCTGTTTGTATGGTCACTCCCTGCCAATCAGATCCATATCATTTTCACCTGATAATAAGTTGATTGCAACTTGCTCAATTGATAAACTGGTCAAATTGTGGAGCATGGATTTCGGAGAATGCAGAAAGACATTCGTGGGTGATTCACAGAATGTTGAATTCGTCTCTGGTGATGAATTTGATGATGATCTGTGGTTCTATTCCAATAATTCAATTGTCTATCAGGAGAAATTCAATAGGCTGAAATATTTTAAGGCATTTTCAAGTGGAATTATCAAAATATGCGGTAACAACATGATTTATACAGAGAAGAGTGGTGTTTCACTCTTAACAATGAATAGAGAGGAGTTGTTGCTAGAGAAAGAAGAAGTATCAGACAGAATGGTCAATAAGGAGGCATTTATTACGGATGCAAGCAACTATGAGAAATTTAGCAAATATCTGATGAAATTATCGGATAATTTTACAGGGGGGGTTAGTAACGAATTCTATGGATTTATTGTTGCGACTGATTTCGTAGAAATGGAGCAATTTGTGCATTTGTTGGGTGTGAAAGATGTGAACGTGATCATGAGAGTGATAGAAAACAACTTAGAGGGAAATACAGTTTTCAATGGCAGATTGTTGAATGTTTTGATCAGGTTCCATCAAAGGACAGTAGAGAAGTATGAAAATTATAAGGAAATTGTGATACGAATCCATTCAAAGCTGAAGCAAATTGAAGATGCAATCTATGATAATGACGCAGTGATGAAGATGGAGATGTATGGAATATATGAATAAGGCTATTTATGATATTGTATCCGTTATTTTATCGGGGAGCGTGTCTATTTCATTCGTGTTTACTACTGTGATATATCTGTATAGGATTCCTGTTACGTTTGCAAACTGGTTGTGTTGAAGCATCTTATTGAATTTATCAAGGTCTTTTTGCTGTAACTGGCAATTGCTGAAGTTCTTGAAAATATCCTCATCCATGCATAAATCGTAGCATTTTCTACTAAATGGTCCATAAAGCAATATCACAGAAGATCTTTTGATGCACTTTGATATTATTTTAACCGCATTATTCTGTCCAGTACAGTATATCCAAAATACCTGATTTCTAAATGTAAAAAGCAACCCATTTAGCAGCAGCACAAGGAAGAAGACCACAGCACAGAATCCAGTAATGAATGTGCTCTTTGTTCTGGGTTGTATAAATACCAGCATTGGTGCAGCACACATGAACACTATCAGAACATTCAACATTTTGACTAAATAGACTGATTGGCGGAATATTGCACGAATCATGATGATATTGCTTATATACACACAACAATTCAGTATTGCTGTACAGAATTCCTTTTTATACTTTAGATACGCCAGTTTGAGATTGGTTTTCAACTTTTTTATTTTGGAAATTTTCATGGAATAGGGGAGTTGTAAAAAGGTTTTTAGCACAGGTTCATAAGTTAAAATGTCACTGATCACTTTTCAACTTAAAACACGACTGTTCTAAAACTAATCTGCCAAATGAAACATGCCTGATTCCAGTGAGGAGAAGAAGCCTAGAAACATGAATATGATATACTTTATAGCTGGTGCCATAATATACGTGCTGTTTATTCTGATAATGCAGTTCATGAGTTCAAGCGTGCTACTCTTCAGGACTGGGCTATTTTTTGGCACGATATTTGTGTTTCTACCACTGATATTTTATATTTTTAATCTGAGTGGGATGTTTGGAATTGTATCACTGGTGTGTCTGCTGATTACAATTTTAATATCGTGGTACAACAGGAATGTGGTTTACAGAGTGTATATTTCAAGAATACGGCAAGGATCTAGGGAATGGGAGGAGTTTGTGAAAATGTTCAGGAGACCATCAGCTCTGATTATTTCATATGGGAGAAAGCGACCAAATTACCTGGAGAAATATAGGCACAACGATACAATTGAGGCATTTTTACAAGAGAAAGGACTAGTCAAAGACATGTACAAGATACAACTCGAATTGAAATTTGATAAATTTGCATCACCAAGTGGAATTGTAAAGAAGGGGATTGTGATAGTGCCAATTGAGCCAACACCAGATCAAATCAACAGATACAAAATAAGAGTATTTGGAACAGTCAACATGCTACATAGATACAACAGTGATAAATATTAAGAGCAATTAAATGATCATAGATTCAGGTATTCCAGCTTGCTGATTATGTTTATCAGGGTGGTTTTTGTAATTGGTTTTGATAACACGCCCATAATCTGCTTGTTTCTTGCTAGATCTGAATCCAATGTGATAGCATTATTTGATATTACAATAATGCATATCTGTTTGTTAATACTGTGTATTTTTACAATCATTTCCATAAAATGCTTGTTTTCCTTGCTTACAATTACAAATTTGAATGTCATTTGATTCATAATTTCACTCATTCTTGCGGTATCTGATGCTATTAACGCATTGAATCCACATTCACGTAGCATTTTGTGTGGATTTGTTGCATCTTTTTCGTTTTCATCACAAATCAAGTATGTTTTTCCTATTTTTCTGATTTCATTATGTTCCTTGACTTTATTTAGTTCCTTTCTGAGCTCAATTATGTCGTTAATCATGATACCTAACTGTTTTGCTATTGCTGTCAGGATATTTATGGTGCAGTTGCTAAATAAAACACTCACATTAGCATCATTATCGTTATTTTCTAATGAATCACTTGATAAATATGTCTCCCCTATAATATTTGAATTCCCATTCTCTTTCTGCCTGTTTATCTTACGCATTTTGTCGTATCTTCCCTTGATAAAATGTGTGTGCTTGAATACCCACACTCTCATGCCGTATATTCTGCTGATTTCTTCAGGGACCCTTTGCTTGTGAAATCCATATTTATTCAATTGCCTTACGAATGAACTTATTTTGGAATTACCAAAGTAGACATTCAGCACATGTTTGGCAAACCTGATTGGTTTGAAAATGATAAATGATTTCCCATCATTAGACCAGCCAATCATGTCACTATTTCCAGCATCTTCAATCATTGCAAGCAGTTTTCGAACAAATCTACAAATTACATCTTCCATGGGTTTGTTGGTGTTGAATTTATTCCAATTTACAAATTATTCCGTTATTGAGGGCTGCAATAATTTCACCATCTCTTTTGAATAATTCCACTATATGGCATCTACTGTTATCACCGTTTCTTATTTTGCAGTATTTTATCTTTTCAACACCTTTTACTCCGAATACCAATGCGTATACTTCTGCACCTGTCAATGCAAAATATTCAATTGCAATTATCTTACTGCTTCTGTCTATCTTCAACACATCTGGTTCTGGCAGGTTCCTTTTTTCTGAAATGAATACATGTTCATTCGAATAGTATTTCACACCGAAATTGGCTAAATTGTATTCTGATAGTGGAACCTGATTCATTTTGCTGCTTATTTTGTACAAACGTCCTTCAAAATCAACAGAATAGGCATCGCCTATTTTATCTAGTAGTACATCTCTCATGAAGACAGTCGCAGTCGTTTTTGTCATCAATTCATCTGATAAATCCATCTTATAGATATTCCTTGCATCAGTAGAAATCATAATCTTCTCATCCACATCAAAGTCAATTTGCTTCTCCAGTTCCAACTTTTTGTGTAGTTTTATTCTTTTGTCTTGGATCTCTGCTTTAAATATTGATCCATTTCCAAATAGAATAAACAATCTATTGTTTGATTCCCTGATTTTGATTATATCCCCATTCATTGTTTCTATCTTATTGCAATTCTTTTTATTCCCTATCTTGTTCATATCGAACAAATACAGAATACTTTTGCATTCTTTGAATTCCAATGCATCATTCATATCATCATTCCTCTTTGTTCCCACAATAAGCCAGTTATCTATGATGCATGTTGCTGAAATGTGTTCATCTATTCTGATCCATTTGTTTTCTTCTGCCACTATTTCAAATGCCTTATGTTTATAAATATCTGTTTTCTCAATTGCCTTATTTTTTAACTTCAATTTGTTTTTTTCAAGGGTTCTTTCCAATGTTTCCTTCGTTTCATACATCTTCATCCTTTTACTCTCATCTGCTTCTAATTCAATGTTTTCTTCTATTTCTTTTAGCAATTCTGTCTTGTCTCTAATGCTCTGTTCAAGCCATTCTTTTGTTTTCTTGGACATGGGTCAAATGGAGACTGATAAATTCACCATTCACAAAATGTGTCTATCTGATCTATACAGCAGCATGATACTTGAACAGAAGTATTTTAATGATAGTGCTAGGATGTGTGATGAAATGCACGACAGGATTGTGACAATAAACAACTATTTTTATATAGCCAGAAACACAGGCAATAAAATTATTGGTTTGTTAAAAGCAGACTTACGTGAGAATAGCATGATCACCGTATATGTAATTGTAGTAGAAAGGGAATATAGGAGACATGGAATTGGTAAGAGTCTCTTTAATAGACTATTCAATGATATTAAGCATTTGATACCTGTTACAGTTGAATTGTATGTGAATCCTGTTAACAGTGCAATAGAGTTTTACAAAAGGATTGGCTTTATCAAAGAGGGTGTTATCCATCACTTTTATAAATCAGGTGAAAGTGCATTCAAAATGCAACTTCGTTTAACCAAATAGATTTAAAGGAGATATGTTTTGGTGGTATTGTGGAGTAGTATTCACAGCAGCTGGTGCAGATCCAAGTACAAAAACACCAGAGAATGTTCTGAATATACTTTCTAGCATGAATACAAATCCATGCTATGTAAATTGTTTGTTACTTGATGAGCACCTGAGGAATGCAGAAAGTGATCTATTTAGAGCTCTATTTGCAATAAAAGATACCAGCACAACGTTATCTGCTCCAACAATAGAGGCACATTCCAGATTCAAGTCAGCTATGACACCTCAAATAATGGAATATGACACACAGATGAAAGAGAGAATGTGCACAGAGACGATTAATATCAGTAGAGATACTGTTCTAATCTATTATACAAAAGTATTTGGCAAATCAGATGACACTTTGAAGCCCAATCCAAATGTTAGTCACCAACCATCGGATTTGTTCTTTCATAAGCCAATGAAGGACAAAAATGCGTTCTATGTAACCGATGGAGAAATGAGCGATCTAACAGCACAGTTATATGTTTTGGAATTAATATTTACCTGATTTAAAACGGTGTAAACCAATAACAAAAATACCTCACCTGAATTTATGATTTTGTTTTTACCCTCCATGATGTCTGAAGAAATTAAAAAAGTACTGGTAGATGCACTTGTAGGTAACAAAAGCAATAAAGACGGCTACGAATTCGACATAGAAGAGTACAACAGTTTCATATTGAACCTGCTCAAATCCGATCTTGGTGATAATGGCCAAAAAAGCGATGGGAATGACACAATATACACAGAACGAAATAAAAAACAGAAAACGAATTTCATAAACAGCCTGCTCGACGACGACTTCATCACAGAACTCCACAGAATCAAGTTGCTTAAGCAATTTAGATACGTAAAGTACAGGCCCATTTTCTCTACCGAAAACATTGACTTCTTTGGAGTATGCAAAAACAGCCCATCTCACATGAGGGAATGCACGATATTGGATGAGAAGGGCATCAATACGTTCATAAACATATATTGCCAGTTATATGGCTTAGACACAAACACGAACCATGAAATAGCCGAGAGACTATACGACGAAGTATGTAAAATAGTGAAAGGTGATTAACTAGCTGCTTATCTGCAGAGAATGGCAAATAAAATTAAATCAGTTTAATGAGTATTGAATCAATAATATCATATTGGACTGGACTATTACAGCATAGGCTGGTTTGTGTAACTCCATTGGTGTTGAAAACGGTGGCCAATACATCACAAGATGTCTCTTCTGTTATATGTAAATTGTCTAGAATGATAAATGTGCCATCTTGTTTGATGAATACCCCAAAAATCGCAATATCAGGAAGATCAAATGATATTGGAATTGGTGTTGGTTTGATATGCTTTTTGGTGTTGTAACAGAAAGCTTCTTTGGTGAAATCAATAGTTGTTGTGCTTTTGAACAACTTGGTTAAACCAATGTAGAACATCTTAGTCAAGTTGCCTGAATCCATTTCAACAGTCACATCAATCATACAATGACAATTAATTTGTGTTAAGAGATCTTCCAATTTCCTGAAGTAACAATCAAATCTGTTGATTTTGATGCTCTTTGGTGTATTGATTGTGAGTATTTCATCTTTTTTGTATGAAAGTTCAACAGATACCAACATTGCAGATTCTCCACTAGTAATTCTCAGTTTCTTATTTACCAGGCTCTCTTCTTCAATTCTAGTAGTTGTACATCTTTCTTCTCCAATTATGTGTCCATTTAAGATAATTGTTTTTGCATATTCTATTTCAGACTGGTTCATGTCCCTAAATGGGGAATTTTTTGATGAAATTTATAGAATCATACAAGAATTGCTTTACAAGAGAAATGAACAACAATCTGGCATTGAAACGAGAAATGGATCGAGTGAAAGAGGTATGCAAGAAACTGGATATAAAAATAGAGAGCAAACCAAAAAAGGTGTATTTTTGGAATAGACCTGTTGAAGAAAACGGATCTAAATTCATTATAGAAAAGGAATTTATGGATAAGCACATGTGGTTTAGAAATAATAGACTGCTAGGCAACATGATGAACGATTATTACAAGTTAACATACATAGAACAACAACTAATACCAGAAATATTACATCAAAACATTAAACTTGGTGTAAAAGAAGTTTTAGCAAATGCAGAAGTGACCAAAAACATCAAGAGAATGCGAGATGAATTGTTAGAAAGTGTAGATTGGAATGATAAAGAGGTTATTGTTGATGAAATTAGACGCAAAGAAGTCAAAAATATTGCGATCAAGAACCTGAAAAAAACAATTACAGCATCTTTTGAAATAACTATAGCGGTGTATGGAAAGAAAAGAAGTGTAAAGCAGAACAAGCACCATTCCTGTACAATGGAATTTACAAAAGAAGATGGTGTTTGGAAAGCATCTAATTTCACTTACACTGAGCTCTATTAGTTGAATATTCAATTGTATTGGATTTCAGACCATCATTAAGTTCAATCCAATAAAAATAACTATTCATAAAATAGTTTCTGGGAATAAAACGCATGTATTCAGTATTTGTCTCCAGGTTGTGAAAATTGATTATTTTGATTGATGTGGTATTCGCCAGTGAATTACAACACATAGATACAACTTCCAAAGTCGATTTGTGATTTGAATCAACTCCACCATGAATCATAAATCTGATTATGTTAATATTTTGTTTGTCTTTATCTGGTGATATGCTAAAATCAATTGCTGCCGTCGCAATAAGATTGATTAAGATTAACAATGGGTTCATAAGGGGTTGACCAAAGAACAATTCTATAACAACCCAATCAAAAAAGTAATATTCGCTATTAATTTATCAATACGGCATATGAAGCAGAAACAATGCATTAAATAGACTGTAACAGTCAGGTTGATCTAAATGCATAAGTTTTAAATGTTTACATGTTGCCAATATAGTTTGATTGTTTTCTCTACAGAATCATCTTGTAAAAAATTTACCCATAAAATGTCTGAGGAAAACAACACGATGTCTAAGGTAGCGGAAATAACCGTGAACACCAGGAAACTAGCAGGCAACTGTAAGTCACACAGAAAAGCATGTGGTTCAGTTAAGAATTTGAGGAAGTTTATAGCCAAGCAGTGGAATACAGACTTACCTATTTACATCAGTTCAGATCTAAACAAGAAAATGTGGTCTAGAGGAAACAAGAACACTGTCAGAAGAATAAGAATAAGAATTGAGAAGGACAAGTGTCATAAGAACCCAGAATCAGATTGCCTAAAAGTGATCTGGGTTGATGTGTCTTCTTTTAAGGGTCTTAAGGACACTGTGGTCATGAACGATGAATAAATTCTTTAGAAAATTACTATTCTTGATATTTTTAGCCTGAAATGTTTGAGGATGACATAAAAGAAGAGTTGAATAAAATACTCATAAAATCAATGGAGCTGAGTTATAAAAGGAAGATGATACGTGAGAAACTGGAGGAAGCTAGCAAAAAACTGAATGCTAGAGAAGGAAGCAAGATCAAACAAAACACAGACGTGTACAAAATAGAGAAGTTGAAACAAGAGCTTGATGGTGTTCGTAGACACTTTCGTGGGTTATAGCATAATATTCACATAGTATGATGCATTTAATGTTATATTTTGCCTGTCAAGTGTCTTGACCAGAAGGATTCTCTTCATAGATTTGTTGTAAATCAAATAAACAGATCCTGGCTCATCTCCGTGGAATTTGAATCCATAAATCGCAGCACCATCCACATTCACACAATGTTGTAACACCAATTTGACATATTCAATGCACTCATTTGCTTCATCTTTGCATTTGCACACGTAGAACATGAAATTGTATAAATCTTGGCAAAATGCGTTGAAATCGACCTTTTCAAACATCCCCATATTCAACTTGCTGAAATCATAGTGAATGAATGACATTTCTAGCGCACTTATAAAAAATCGTAGGGGCTTCTTGATTCTGCGAATCATCCTTTCTTCTTTTGACTTTTTGCAGCTGTAAGCTTCTATTTCAATCAGCTTGCCCGAAACAAACTCCATATATTTCTTGAAGAGCTCATTTGTTTTTAGTATGTGTGTTATTTCCATGAATTTCATTGGGGTGAAGAAGTGAGGGATTTATAAGCAGTCCATCAGATCACACAGGTTGTTGTTTTTTCTGATGATTACTGATTTAAACTGCTCAAAATCCATTGTAGTCGTATATTCGCCTATTTCTGCAAATGTTTTGTCTACGATATTTTGTATTTTCCAATTCTCAAGCATATTCTTATTAAGCAACTTCAGCATGTCATATAGTTCCACTCCTGATATGAATCCATCATTGTCTTGGTCGTATAACTTGAATAGGAACCTCAACTTCGTATCTAAATCATTTGAGTTCAGAAACTCAAATAAATCATTGCAAAGTCTTGTGAAATTGACCTTGTTTGCCTTGGTGTATTTTTTAATGAGAATGTTAGTGATTGGGTTGCTCTTGAATTCTCCAACTGATGTTATGTCACTCTTCTTAACGTATTTATCCTTTCCATCCATAAGGAGGTCAAAGCAACCAATAAATATCAAGTATAAAATAGCTTGCTTAAAGGGTGTATGGGATGGCTGTTCAAATCAAGAACTACCAACGCAGATCTTTCTCGGTATCCGGAACGAATCTACAGGAAGGCGCTTTGCACTCGAAAGCATTGCACTGAGGAATGTTCTTGTAAAGAAGACATCTACAAGTTTTTCGCTCTGTTCATAGCAGGTGAAATTTTTGAGAAAAATCAGCTGATTGAGAAAATGAATTACTGTCCAGCTAAGCTGAGACTGTCAGTCTACCTGAAATTCATTGACGACTACAAAGTAGTGGATAGTATGGAGCACCAGAATTATATTGGTCGTGTTGGTAAAGATGATGAATCACGTAGTCTGTACATCAAGGAACGAATAGAAAAGGACAAGAAACTCACACGAGAGATATTCAAGAACTGTAAGAAGTATGGTGTAGATAACGAGGAAGAAGTATTCAACATTTACAAAAAGTTGGGGAAAATGTATGCTGTCGATTATAGCACACTTCATGTCATATTCTGCCTATTCAAATTACCAGGTGCTGATAAAAACAGTGTTTACACCATACTGGACTACACTTACAACATATTGGAATTGAATATGATATTCCAAGGCAAAGATAACGAAGATAGCATCAGTTTCGTGGAAAAGAACGTTGATAGAGAACAGCATTTTGATAGTGATACGCTTGAAGAAAGCATCAGGAAGAATCAAACTGGATTTGCATCGAATAGCAACCTATTCAGTCCAAAGGTACAGAAAGAAGAATCTTCCGCAAAAAAGATGAAAACAGAAGAGTGTGAGCCATTCACACAAGAAAAACTCAAGCAGTTGATGAAGCTGATAATGGACTACGATTTTGACACATTTTTGGTGATGGTCGATATTGGTATGGCATTGAATTTAACCTTTATGGAAATCATAAAACAGGCGAGCCAATTTTCTACGATTACATCGTTGGATGCACTGGTTAAAGTGATTGGATCAAGACAAAATACGAGATATTATCATGCAGGAACATTTAAACCAAAAGAAAAGCAGGAGAAGCACGATTTAAACTATTTTGACTTTCTGGTTATCCAGAATGAAACAATTAAGGCACAAGAGAACATCAAGGACCAGTATGAAAAAGAGTTAGCTGAATTGAAACACGAATTGAGTAAATATAGATAGTTATAGCTGGAATATCAGTTTACTTATTCTTATCTGATTCTGCATCGTTTACTGCTGCCTTAGCTTCACTAACAGCTTTGTGGGCCTTTTCTGCAGCATTTGAAATCGTGGACTTTCCATTGGCATTGCATGTTCCAATTGGGACGTTGTTGATGATGTTCGTCTGGATGATTTCTTGCATGCTTTGTTTGAAAGTTACGCTTACCAGGAATGCAATCTTTATTGCAGCAAAGAGGGGAATCCTATGTTTAAGTAATGGTTCAGCAATACTCAGACAAGCAAATGTCATCAAAACAATGAGACATCTCCTCATATCCTTCACATTTGGGTTATGCGACTTTAACACAGCCATTGTTTCTTGCAACGGAAAGAACAAGCAAACCAGGTTGTTCAATGATGTTCCAATGAATGTGGAATCCAGTGCCACCACGATCAAGATCACGAAGATGCCTAGTACACTGTCAGAAGACACACCGGTCCTCTTACAGAACTCTTTCATGATATGGTTGTCTGCAACCTTTGTCTTAATAGTCTGGATCATTGTAAGGGTAAAAAAAGAAAAACTTTATCAGGTGCGGTGTGAAATATTTGATGAATTATTTTTGGGATAAATAGTCTGGAATACTCAAAAGAGGTACAGGGTCAATTACTGGCTATTTTCAACCAATTATCAAAAGAGGTTAATCTCCTTTATGGGTGTTACAACAGGATTCAAATATAGCAGTACAGCTATCACTGTATTCAATGCATTGTTCATTCTATTCACACTGATCTATATCATATTCTACCTGAGATATTTCCAATTCTGGAGACTTGAAGCAATGATATTCAAAAATGTGATCTTCAAACTGGTTTTATGCATAAAGATCCAGTGCTTTACGAACTTATTCTGTTCGCTATTCAACAATTACGCATTGAATGTAGCAAGCAAATTCATAATGAGGATCTCTCTGATTGCTTTGATGGTAGGTATAATATCAACAGTGATATTTATTGTGATATTGCTATTTTCATACACACAAAATTATCCAAATGCCATCAAATACAGTTACTACTTTAACCTGGAGATTCAAACATTCATTAATAACAGATATGCATATGCACCCGTTAAGTCTGTGAATGATAAGATTGATTATTGTATTCAAGAGATGGATTTTTTGGTGAAATGTACATCAATATTTCTAATTGTATCAGTAACGATGCTTATTATCACATACATATTCACAAGAGTGATGGTTTATATAAAGATAAGTAAGGCACCACCAGTTAAACCAACTATACAAAGTTATAGACATGCAGCAATGGATACTGGTACATTGGCTAATATTAAGGTAGTGGAAAGTGATATAAATTAGGTAAATTGTAACAAATAGAGTCAGATAGCTGAATTGATACAGAAAAGTGTCAAACACAACAAATGAACTACATAAGAAACGGTTTTCTTTGAACCACAACTATGGACAGTGAATCATCAGTAAATGTTACATCCAACACCAATATTGAGTTACTCTTATGGGTAGTATATTTCGTTATAATCAGTGATGATATTCCATCTGTAGTGAAATGTATTTTGTGGAATCTGATATCTGTACAGTTGGTATGAGATAACACATAATTGGTTACACTCATTCCTATGAGATATCTCATACCATCCTCCTGAAATGTAATGACATATTTGTTCTTAGTTGGTAGTACAAAATATTGGCCATGGAGTTTTGAAGCGTCCATATGCAATAGTAGTGTTGGTTTTCCCCTCATTCGACAACTTACCAGTTCTAATGAATTATAGCTGCTGAAG